CAGGCTTTGTTGCTATCAGCGTCGATCATTTGAGCCTTGCGGTATATCACTTCCGCTGCCATGAAATTCGACATCTGCATGTACGCCCAGCTCAAACTACCCTGTACCAAAGCTCTTGTTTCACGTTTTGTAAAATACATATTCTCAGGTATGAACGTGCATGCACAGCTAGCATTCAGGTATGAAAGCTCATGCACAAATGTGATATGTATAGTAAAAGTTTCCAAAAAATAAGTGATATGTAAAAGTGCATTTAATATATATATATATATATATATATATATATATATATATATATATAGGGTCAGGTTCCTGTGAGAACAGGTCTTCCCGTGCGGTCAGTGCGACATACACCGTTAGGTATGCATAAATGCACCCTGTATGGTACATTTATACATACCTAATGGTGCATGCCGCACTGACCGCACGGGAAGACCTGTTCTCACGAACCAATATATATATATATATATATATATATATATATATATATATATATATAGTACAATTCATTGTAGTAGTTTGTGTGATAATGCACTTTTTCTTGTGTATTCTCACTTGCTAACCTATTGTAATGAAATATTTATGTATTTGGTTCTGCGGTACGGTTTTGAACTCTACTTTTGGATATATTTAAATCCAATTACCTTGTTTAGTTTACTATGTTGGGTTCAAATTTAAATCAGGATGAAATGACTCAATATGAAGAATGAAAAAAAAAAAAAAAAAAAAAAAAAAAAAAAAAAAAAAAAAAACAAACAAACAAATTGCTCTTATTTTTCAACAATTTTGTTAAAATTCATTCCAATTGCTCAATGTGTGATCCGATTCCAATCATGATTTCGATATTCCAAACAAGCACACCCTTCATTAATATAATGATTTGATATAGTTCATATATATAATTAATGAGGATAGAGAGTTTATTTTATTGGAAAAGTTTTAGTCCAAGTGGGGATCATTTTTATTGCAAGGGGGCGACCTCTAGTATAATAATCTAGATACCAATACCAACCACGTACCCAAGTCACTCAAGATATCACATACAAAAAGGTAAGATGCATTATTTATCCGTGTGGAGATTGTTGACATCCAAGTAGCGGGGAAACACGTATATTGCCAATATTAAAGGCAAATCGATGTTGTACATTTTTCAATCATCCGGAAGGTCTTCAACAATATATAAGGCACCCTTGCCTTTCCTTTAAAGATCATCCATTGGTTCATTCAATCCCTGGTCTAGTAGCTCAAGGTCCTAACTTTTAGCTCATATACTATGATTCAATTCTCGGCCATTATCTCGGGCCTACGTATTCTTTTGGGCATAACTCCCTTAGCAACAATACTACTATTTTCCTACCCTGTTCTGTACTTTCATACCCGATCCCAACAAAATCACCAGTAATGATTTAATATAAGATGATCTTGTGTAAGATTGTTTTATGTGATCTGAGACGTGTAATACTTTTATAGATCCATAAGAAATTATATTTTACTTAAAAACATGAGATGGTCTTACACCAAACTTATTATATAGTTTATAAAATATTTATCAAATATTTTGTAGTCCGTGAGTAAAATGAAAATTTTAAGTATGATATATGAACGGCTAATCAAATAGATTTAAGACATAGTTTCTTATTGGATCTAATTTAACAAAAATTAGAAAGTAAAATCAAACAAATATTTCGGAGTCGGTTTAGATTGAATCACTTTTGTTCAATTTTCGCCGACAATGACATGACTATCTAGACAGTGGACAAGAATGATGACGGAAGTAAAAGCAGTTATATACTCCGTATTAATTATATAACGATATACTATACATACCAGTATTCTGGCGGTCTCTTGCTTAACGGAAACCTGAAACTTCTTGCCATGGGAGCGGGCGGTTTTGGTTGGCCTGCCGTTGAACATCTTCCCTTCGTATATCTGTCGCAGCTTCTGCTTCAGCAACGCTATCTGTTCTTCCATTTTCCCGCATTTCTGCACCGTGTTTAATACGAATTCATGAATACTACTTTACTCATTTACTGTAGATCAAACTTGAACGCGATATGATGTTCAAATTTTGAATCATAAACAAACTAATTAAGTTGAGTTTTGATCTCGATCGATCGGCTTGTTTAATTTATGCGTACCTTGTATAGATCGAGAAGGACATTATCGATAGAGTCCTGAGCCTGTGAGGGGCAGCGATTTCGGAAGGATTTGATGGCTTCAATGGCTTCTTCGCTACGATCGACCTGCTTCATCACTACCGCCATGTCTTTTAGAGCACTCTCGACTCTATCGCCGCCATTTATGGCTTTCCAAAACCACACTATTGCCGCTTCTGGATCCTTCTCGACTAACTACACCTCATATATGCATATCCAGCTAACTTATAACCGAATCAAATCAATACTAAAGTAAAACCTAACATAATCAATGAATTGAAATTGATGATGATGGTGATTGATTATATAACCTGAGCATGCTTGGCTCGGACATAAGGACCATCGCCGCAAGGAACCTTGTGAATCGCGTGATACATATGCTCCTTAGTATTCTCACCTTCTTCTCCTTCTCCTTCTGCAGGTCTGTAACTTCTGTTATGGCTTCCAGATGCGCCTTCCATCTCCATTTATATATATTACAGTTGGTTAGATTGGCGGCTTCCTTGAGCTTCACTGATCGAGCAGTAGTGAGCTGCCGGTGCCGGTGCCGGTGCCGGAGGTGGATGAACCAGATATTTAGTGTAAAAATCTAGAAAGAATATCAGAAGAGCAATGTATATGGATCGGAGAGGTATAAACAGACTGCAGCTGTTGTCTCCTTCGTACAGAGGACCCACGCAAGGGCTACTCGCCCTTTTGATATGTTTTTAAATTATTGACGGCATTGACCAAGCTTTATAATGAACATGGTCTGCTTTCCCGTCTACATTCTTTTGCTGCGGATGCGGTAGATTGATCGAGGCTAGAGCTGTCAAAACTCAAAACCAATCCGTGATAACATGCTCATAAAATTTCATCTCAATCCAATTCAAAAAAGTAAAAATTAATAATTGTTTTAGAATCTTTACTATAATTCTTAATTTTTTATTGTTATAAATATTTAGTTATTGTCATTATCCTATGTCCTCTCCACTTTCCCACTATCTCCCTTGTTTAATACTCCGTATTGTATTATGAAGTAGTTATTAGGGAGTGAAAACTATAATGTAGGGATAGGGGTTAAACACTAGTGGGCAACCCACTTGCCTACACAGTTCACTAATGTATTTTTCAATCTCATTAGTGTACTTCCCGAGCTTAAGGGACATATCTACTTCCCGATCTCGTTATATTAGAAATAGACCTCTCGATCTCATTAGTAGTAAACCTCCCGACCCCGTTCTCATTATCAAATAAACTTATCGGCCTCTTTGTGTAGACTTCTCGACCTTGTCCGATCGGGACGCCAATCGAGATATGAACATCAAAACAAAGTCAACCAAATCCGAGCACAACCGACGTCGTCCATAACTAAACAATGACCACCAAGCATCCCATCACGTAGTAAAACCCCTAAGGACACGTGGCAAGCCTAGCTACACTGCATGATCTCCTTAGGACATGTTGAGCACCCGACATGTGTCCCATCTCCCATTCCTATATAAAGGACATTTATTGCACATTTGGGGAGACTTTTAGCCCCCCAATACACCACTCATCTCGGTGCCTCCCGACCTCACATAGTCGTACCGCTCATTAACTTCTCGACTGCATCAATCACCTTCATCTATTTTCCATACCTTATGTGGTCGGACCTTTATTTAACTTTCCAATCATATTATTTCACATCTAATTGAATTCGTGATCCCATTTACCCAACTCAAAATAATTTACTCTATCACATGATTTAATTTGCCATCTTTCACTTACTAAATGACGAGATAGGTCAACTAAGTCAAACCCACCTTATTTTGACAATTGCATTTATAAATCACATTAATTATTAAGTTCGTATCTTTCTATATTCACATTTTTTAAAGAAAAAGATAAAATCACCAAGTGTAAAAATTATTGGAATAAGGGTCAAATAGGCCCTCCAACTGCACACAATAATTCAATTAGGCCACTAAACTTAAAAAAAAAGCAACAATTAAATCCCTAAACTAATCATTTTTTTACAATTAGTTTAATTTGTAAGTTTTCTAGATTGTTAGCAGGTCACTTTAGATTTAAAATATTTTTTTAATTTAAAATATTTATTATTTAAAATAATTATTTAAAACTTAAAAAAAAAAAAAAAGGAAACAGATCGTCTCCGGCCATGGAGACGAAGAGTCTCTTTGTCTCCACTGCCGGAGACGAAGAGACTCTTCGTCTCCATGGCCGGAGACGATGAAGTTATCTTCGTCTCCATGGCCGGAGACGAAGAGTCTCTTCGTCTCCGGCCGGCCAGAGACGAAGAGGTCTCCGGTCGGCCAGAGACGAAGTGGAGACGAGGAGACTCTTCGTCTCCATGGCCGGAGACCATGAAGTTATCTACGTCTCCATGGCCGGAGACGAAGAGTCTCTTCGTCTCCGGCCATGGAGACGAAGATAACTTCTTCGTCTCCGGCCATGGAGACGAATCCATGGCCAGAGACGAAGAGGTCTCCGGCCATGGAGACGAATCCATGGCCGGAGACGATTTTCTTTTTTTTTTTTCTTTTTTTTTTTTTAAAAAAATTAAATAATTATTTTAAATAATAAAATTTTAAAAAATACTTTAAATTTAAAAAAAATATTTTAAATTAAAAGGTGACCTGCTAGCAACCTAAAAAATTTATAAATTAGATTAATTGCAAGAAAATTGTTAGTTTAGGGATCTAATTGTTATTTTTTTAGGTTCAGTGGCTTAATTGCATTATTGTGTGCAGTTAGATGGCTTATTTGACCCTTATTCCAAAATTATTTGATGTTTATTTTATGATGTGATATAATCAAACTAATTCTTTCACCTTTTTATCCCTTATTTTTTGGGTCATCGTCTTCCTTGGAGTAATTATTATTATTCAAACAGATGAACCTGGACATACAATAGGTCTACATACAACAGCACTTGGAGCCCAAATATCTTGATGTTATTATGATATATATATTAATCAATGCTTCATGCTTTCCACTACTTTCCAAACTAATATTCACAGTTTTTGTTCTTATACTAAAAATTAACAAGCCAGCTGATCTCTGATTGGAGTGATCGCTTCAAAGACCGGCAACCTTCTTGATCTGGGTGGACCCCACTCGCTCATCACCCCATCGAGCTCACCGAGAAAGTCGTCGTCCAGCTCCAGCCCGAGCCCGGGACCGGGAAGGTTTTGCATGAAGCATGGGGGCTGTACCGAGTCCAACTCCGAAACCAATTCCTCGAGCCGGGCTCTCGTTTTGGGTTCGTCCGACCCCGGGTATCTGCCGCTCGATACTTGTTCCACAAAGAATCGGGCCTCGTCGTGCCGGGATTGTTTGATCAGGCAGTAGGCCAGGTTGCACGCTTTGTTGCCGTCGGCGTCGATCATTTGGGCCTTGCGGTATATCACTTCTGCCGTTATGAAGTTGGACTTCATCATATAGGCCCACCCCAAACTACCCTGCATCGTGTAATAAATACTCCGTACTTAGTTAATGTTAATCAAAATGAATTAGTAGCAAATCAATAACCAATCATGCATAATATAAAATTAATTAGTTTATCCTTTAGAGCCTGCAATCATTATTTTACAAATTGATTAATTCAACACTCGAAATTTCAGAACTCTTTTTTAGTGTGTTCCAGCTTATGTCTTTTTGAAAATATCGACGATCTCACATTATATGTAATTTGTTTTTCGTTCCTTGTTCTTTGTCTTTTTCGATGAATTTATAAAAACAAAAGTTTTCACTTAAGATAAAGTATTTTCTAATTTAACAAATTATGAAAATGAAAAATATATTATTTAATGATTTTCTTTTTTAGAGCAAGGGAAGAGCTAGGGTGGTTGGTTATTGAGTTAAGGAAACAATTAATAACCTAACGCACCAGTATTCTGGCTGTCTCTTGCTGGACGGAAACCTGAAACTTTTTGCCATGGGAGCGAGCTGTCTTGGTTGGTCTGCCATTGAAGACCTTCCCTTGGTATATCTTTCTCAGCTTCTGCTTTAACAACACTATTTGTTCATCCACCTTCCCACATTTCTGCATATAATAAACATATGTTACTGTAATTAACAAATCACTTTAATTTGCTTATATCGTTGGTAGTTAATTAGGAGGATTAATTAACTACCTTGTACAGATCGAGAAGGACATTATCGAAGGAATCTTGGGACTGGAATGAGCAGAGACCTCGAAATGATTTGACAGCTTCAATGGCTTCTTCACAGCGATCCAGCTGTTTCATCACTACTGCCATGTCTTTTAGGGCACTCCCTACTCTATCTCCTGCGTTTATGGCCTTCCAGAACCATATTACTGCTGTTTCCAGATCCTTCTCAACCAACTATATATACACATACCAAAAAAAAAAAAATGGTTACACAAAATTGTAAACAAATTTCTAATAACACAACCTATTAAAACAATTGGTAAACAAAGTACTAATACAATTGTAAAATTGAAGGCTTAATCTGGTACGAATGCAACATGCAAGCAAATTCATATTAAGCTTACATTAGTGGATATATATATAGGTTTGCATTCATATGAGAACCATATCTTAGGTGAAAACCTGCAAACTACTGTATGAGTGCACACAATTTACTACATGAATTCACACAATCTACTACCAAACATGTCTAGACAACGATAGAGACCCTGTAGTAATTTCGTGTGCATTCTTGTAATAGATTGTGTTCACATCCTCACCTAAAGTACATGCATACATATATACATACATACATACATATTATTGATTGTATCTTAAAAAAACGAGTTTAATTACCTGAGCATACTTGGCTCGAACATAGGGACCATCGCCGGAAGGGACTTTAGGAATGGCATGAAGCGTTAGCAGAGGATGATTTACAGCTGAAGCTTCCATCTCCAGTATATTTCTCGATCTGAGTTCCCCGTGCCTTGGTGCTTACTCTTTTTGGTACCTTTTTTATTTGTATCTGATGGATGGATGAGCTAGCTAGGTAGAGTGTTGAAGATGGAGTACCTACAGAGGTAATGATGAAATGAAGAAGATAGAAACTGTGAGGCGTCGCTGTCTCTCTCAGTGTTATATAATATATAGTACTCATTCGCCTAAGTGCATTGGTGAATCTGGACATATTCCCCGTCCAAGTTCTGCCCAATATGTCCTCATTATATGTATTAGTGAAATATCATCAGATAACTACCCAATTTTTTTTTTTTTAATTTTAATTTGTTTTGAAAGAATACCCAATTATATTATAATATATAGATAACTATTGTCATATTGTAATATCAATAAAAGAAAATTTCATTTATGAGGCCTTGGAAGGTTCAAAACAGATAAAGAATTTTAAAGTATGAAATAATTAATGATTGATCGTCACGTCAAAGAATAAAATAATATAATTTCAAATAGTAAATTCTATCCAAAAACATGAAAGATATCAATGATATCTACTTTACCTTGGAATATACACACAGTTTTGCCTGTGATAACAGTGCATTTTAGAACAGACTCCTGACAAAAAGCAAGGCAAGCTTCAGATCCAACGAAGGCTATGCTTGATTGCCACCATCCTATCATGCCCTCGGCCATAGCCTCTATCACCTGAATTCGGATAGTGATTGTGGACTTTTATCGTAAATCAAAACACCCCAAATTTCTGCTTCTTCCATATCCTGAACCTATAGGAAAGCACAATAGTACAATTACTTAAGTTGAACTGTTATCTGTAATTCTGTATAGTGATATGAGTTCTAAAAACACAAATGAATATAATGAGGACATGAGGTATTGAAGAATATCTGTCAATTAATTCAAAAGTAAACCACCTCGTCCCCAGTTTGTGTACCCACTATTTGCTGCAAGAACAAGGTGCTAAATATATTAGACATATGCAGACAGTAGCACAGCAAACACACTATAATTAAATAGACTAAACTCTTGGTAAAATAGTTAGCCTACCAGTGAATTTTGGCTTGTTTGACCACTATTAATTGTTTGACGTAGTTGAATAATGTGTTTGATTAATTAGCTTTTTGTAACAACTTATTGTTCTGAAATACTAAAATTTAAAAAGCTGTACAAAAAAGTTTTTTTATCAGCTTTTTGAAAAAGTCATTTTATATGTAATCAGCTATCAGCTAACATCTAATTTACCAAACATCTTTCTACAATCAACTAGTCAAACCCATTAACCCAATCAGCTAACAACTACTCCCTCCGTCCCATTTATGTGTCTGGTTCGGTTAACGAGGCTTGATTGAAGTTATTTTTAATTAAAATTTTCATAATATTAAGTTTAATATTAATATGCAAAATTTATATATTTAGAAATTACACTAAAAGTACTATTAAACACAAAAAGTCAAATTTAAAAATAAGTAAAAAATAATAAAGAAAATAAATAAAGAAGAAATGGTTGATTTGACCAACGAATAGTAAGTAGGACATATAAAATGAAACAAATGGAGTATCACAGCTATTACCAAACACCCCCTAAATCAAATTACCTTGATACTTTCGTTGATAGTTCCCCTCATAGTCTCCCTGGAAATTCCTTTGGTACTCTCCCTGATGATTCCCATATCCACAACTGCCCCAACCCCTTCCCCTCCCTCTACTACAACCTCTTCCTTGACCATAAGAATCTATAAACGAAATTCAATTGGAGTTAAAAAGCTTATCGATATATTTTGATATGTTCACAATAAACTCCTTTCTATGTGTAGTGGGTGGGTTGCGGTCTTCACCTTCATTACCAGATTGTCTAGGAGGTTGCGGTTGTGATTGGTAGTAATATTGTTTTCCTTGTTCCACATAAGATGGAGCTTGATACCTATGCAGATAGATTTTAGTCAGCCAAAGAATAGAAGTGTATGTAGTCAATACATAAAGGAAGAAGTACAGCAAATGAGTGTTGGATATCAAAAACAGTCTCAACAAAAAGGGAACTAAATGAGCTTGCAGTCACAGGAAATGGATAATTTGAAACAATAGTTCAGGTTGTTTGTTTCAGGCAGCAAGTTCAAAACCAGAACAACCCAATGGGAATTTTTAGCTTAGGTCTGCTCTTGCTCTATCTTGGTTACTAAGAAAATCAAATCTCTAGTTCCTCTCAATCCCTATCACTCCATCCCCCTTTCGGAAGAAATTTACCCAGGAGAGTTCTCGTTCAGCGCCTCTGTAGACAAGGCGATTGATACCATGGAAACAAGGCAACTCGCTTGTCTGTTCCAATTTGTATTAAGCATCAGAAAAAGTTACCAAAGTATCAGACATTCAGACAAGCTGATAGATCTCTACAATAGCTACTACTTTGCTGATAGCCTGGCCCAGGTCTCTCCTATGCAACGAAACAAATAAACCTTAGCATTACCCAGCCAACAAAGGATCACAATAAGGTAAACCAGAGGTTGCTCATAGTTGAACGGCTCAAACCAAGAATACCAATAGACCGCTCTCAACATTACAATGTTATTACAAGATGATGACAACAACAAAATTGAACCTCAAAGCACCACAGAAATTAATACAGCTAGAGAACATCAGCAACCCAAGCACACACAGTATTCTCAGACACAATTCAGATAAACATCAAGCAATCAATAGCCCTGAGCTTAAATTAATCCAATCAAATTTAGTCATATGTTATATGGTAATTACTACTAGAAAGAGTATAGATCTATATTTTCTTCTCGCAGCCACAACTTCAGCAGTCTTCCGTTAACAGATACTGAGTAATGATTATCTATACGACAGTAAACCATTTATTTGAAACAAATAATGAGAATCGGAAACTACAGCAGCATCGAAGCATAAAAAGTACTTAAAGCATCCTAAAACTCCAAACAATAGCCGCGACTGAAATTTTCCACCAACGTGCAACACCTCAGAACACTAGACTAGGAATAATCAACAAAAAACTAAAACAGAATCACACAATTCCCTTAAACGTAAATCCTAAGCGTATTCAAACCACATTTTTGGCAGTATGCTTAAAGCGTTCAAATATAACAACGATAACAGTTGAAGTAAGGCGCGAAAAATTCAAAAGTAGATGCATGACGGAATAAGAAAGCAGAGAGGATACTTTAAGAAGATTGGCGGCATAGCTGATGAAGTTCCGGAGCAAGCCGTGGGAAGTGATGCAGATCTCATTCTCGTTAATGGCGGATTAGGGTTTGGGGTTTTCGACCTTTTGGTATCTACCCATGGCGCCTTAAACCCCGATTCGTAAGAATTTGAGAGGATTGGGGAAGGGCAATTAAAAAACAGTTAAGCAGAGTACGTTACCAAAATAACCGCCACAGGGGTCGCCTTTTAAATTTTAATTTCTCATGATTTTTTAGTTTTTTTTTTTTTTTTTTTTTTTTTTTTTTTTGCCTTTCATAATTTTTCAATTTCATTAAAATTAATTACATAAAATAATTTAAAACTGTTGTTTTTAAAAACAAATTTGATATGTATCTAACTTTTTTTATATATCACTATAATCAAAAGACGTTGACTCAAGTGAATAGAGTTTGATAAGTCACTTAAATACATAATATGTTCAGTATTCCGTTTAAATAAATTAGTCTCGTCTGAATACTTAGCAAATTTGTTTACTCAAAACTTCAAGGGTGTTAAGATTGGCCACTAGTTGTTAAATCAATAACCTAATAAGATCGACGAGTAATAAAACAATAACGGTGATATTTTGTAATGGTGCAAAGGTATGAGAATGTTCACATATCTATAACGAGTAGAGAATTTAGTTTGTGTTATCGCCAACCCAACTTATACCTCTAGGTAGGCTTAGGCGATGGAAGACAGGCGATCGAGTGTGATAGGAGGAAAGAGCATGGCTTGAGGTCAAGTGCAACTTGGCTAATTGACATGACGAATTAGTCGGGGGGAGATGTGTGGAAGCATGATTGTAAATTGCTTTAGCATGTATCAATCTTGTGTATAATATAAATATATCGGATCACTCAACTCAATAGGTATATTCGTATATTGTACTCACTTTACTACATAGATCACACTCAATCATTCTATCCAAGCAACTAAAATCTCTTGACCGACTAATTATCACTCTATCTATATACATTCACTCTACTTCGAGTCTGTTTGACAGAGCTTATAGCTTATTTTAAGTCCTAAAATAAGCTCGTAGCTTTCTAACTTTTTTTTTTTCATCTTTGTCCTTATTATTTTAAATAAATAACATCTTCTCAATTAAAATCTTTTTATCTTCTCCTTTATCCGCAACTTTCACCGCAATAATAATAATAATAATAATAATAATAATTATTATTATTATTATTATTAGGGTGAAGTGTCAAATAGCACCATGAACCAACAACGAAATGTCATCCCGCACCCTAATCTTACATAAGTGATTATTCGATTCACAAACTAAAAAAATTTGTTCACCTAACCTTTTTTACAGGTAGCCTTCAAGTTAAAGGTAATAAGTTGGTGATGTGGAGGTGATTTGACAGATACGTGTATTGTTTTTTAGATGTGGCATCCATTTAGGAGTTTAATTATTAGGCAAAATTGAAAGGCAAATTAAACATATTTAAACCATACAGAAGACTTGGTAGAAAAGTCAAAGCAATAGTGTTAATCAAAAGAAACTCACGCTCAGAAGAATTTTTCAGCTAGAAGAGGCTTGCGTTCAGAAGATGTTAGCAATTTCAATCCTTCATATCGACGTCTGAAGAAACCCTACCCATTTCTAATTCACAAATCCCTAATCGCGAAGAGAAAGCCATAATCTCAAACACAAATCCCTAATCGCATCGCTTAAGCCCTAATCTGTATTCATAATTCGAAACCCTAAATCCCTAAAGGCGACGACAATCTCCTATAGTGTGGTCCTAATCTGTATATTTACAATAAACACTAGGCTCGTACTCCATATTTACTCTAACACGTGATGAAGTTGAGGAAGAAGACATCTTGTAGAGCTGTGGGTTCGAAGGAGAAACTGGAGCTTTGCAATAGGAAGAAGAAGAAGACGACTCTGTAGCTTTTCGATAGGAAGAAGAAGACTCCCGTATACAATAGCTTTGTGATAGAAGAAGAAGACTCCGTTATAAATAAACACAATCAGCTTCCACGTCATATTTTTACCGGAGCCATGTCACCAAGGCAACAGGAAACCTGTAAAAAAGGCTAGGTGAACAAATTTTTTTAGTTTGTGAATCGAATAATCACTTATGTAAGATTAGGGTGCGGGATGACATTTCGTTGTTGGTTCATGGTGCTATTTGGCACTTCACCCTTATTATTATTATTATTATTATTATTATTATTATTATTATTATTATTATTATTATTAGATGAAGGAGATTCGCAACAATATTGCTATTTCATTATGTGATTCTAGATCATGATTATGGCATTATGCTAATAATTTTATTTCAAAATGTTAATTATTTTTTGAAGACAAAATGTTAAAGTTTAATATGTAAACAAACTAATTTAAATTTTATGAAGATGTCTTTTTTTTTTTTTGGTTTTTTTACCTTTATTAGCTTATCAGAAAGCTAATTTT